GTCTCAAAAGGACAGATGGGCTGTCTTTTGAGAGTCCTTTCAGGTCGGAGACTGAGGAGACACGTGCCTCTCAGGCACAGATGGCCTCCAGGTGTGGCTTACTCAGCTGGGCTCCATCTTGGAATGCGTAATGAATTCTCCAGCTGGAGTGGGTCACAGCCCTCGCCTTCTTCCGCACCCCAGCAGAGCTGCTGAGGGTCTGGGTGGTTAAGTGGCAATGATATAAGCACTGGGTGCTCCTCCTAAAAATGTTCCTGAAATCCTCCCCTTCCAGGGTATTGTGAACTGCTTTGTGCTGCAAAACACCATGGGCCAGGATATTTAGTTCAACCAAGTAGCTATCCGGACCATCACGCATCGTGAATTCAAACATTAGTTGTTAATTCCAAAGTCTGAGAACAGGAAATCTGGAGTCCATGGGTATTTGTTAAGAGGGCATTTTTCCATTTATTCAGATTCTTAAATTTGAAAATTCACTGGGCTACCTACTCGTTGTGAAACCCCACATAAGTTAAGGAATCCAATGGTTCTCAAATATGGTCCCCAATACATCACCCAGGGAACGTGTTAAAATGAAAATCATGGGTCCCCACCCCATACCAGCCCAGACCACTGAATCAGAGACTCTGGAGAGGAGACCCAGCAACCTCTGTTTTAACAAGCCCTGCGGGCATAATTCTGATGCCTACCACAGTTTGAGAACCATTGGGTTAAGCGATCCAATCGGAATTTCATTATACATAGAATAGGAGAGATGATACTTGGCCTCAGAAAGTTTTTGTGAGGATTAAATTCGGTAAATTTTGCATGTAAAGCATTTAGCACGGTGGCGCTTAGTATACACTCAATACATGACAGCCGCAATTAATGTTATTATAATTATTGGATTTCTTTTCTGGGTGGCCGATGAATCAGTCTATGTCTCCATGTGTCTACCTGTGAAATAGTAAAGAGTGGAGATATTTTAACATTAATCATTATAACAATAGCTAATTTATTGAGCTCCTCCCCTGGCCCAGGCACTTGGCTAATTACTTCACAAACACTGCATTCAATCCTCATTTAAAAATTTGCTAAGAGATGGTGCTCTTATTGTCCACCTTTTTTTACAGGTGAGGTAGCAGCTTCAGTAACTTACCCAGAATAACACAAGTAGTGAGTGGAAGAGCCAGAAAAAGAATGTAGAGCATGAATCTCCAGACTCTGGATTAGATAAGCACATTACCAAGCACCACTCCAAAGTAGTTTGCAAAAAGAACTATAGCAGTGGCTATTTTCATACCTATAGTGTTATATCAAAAATCGGATATTCCCTGTTATATATACACTGAGATGATAGTTATTAATTCATTATAGAAGGTGACCCTCAACCAAATATTTTTGCTTGAAATGTGCTTTTGGCTTTTTAAGAGGCTAGGGCCAAAGGAGACCCCCGTGGCTGTCCTCCATGAAGTCCTCCATGATTTTACATCTCTACCAAGTCACAATGGGGGATGATTTTCTGTGGATAGGACTAAAGACAGCCCTGAATCTGTCACCAGAACTGTTTCTTCTGGGCCACACTTTGGGACACTGACTACATGAGCCCAAGGAATACATTCAATGGTCCAGTAAATAAGAGAATCAACTAGAAAAAAAAACAAAAAATGCTTCCTTTACCTACAGAAGGCAAAGCTACAGATGAAGATTAGCAAGAGAAAATGTGAAGTGTGACCTGTAATTACCATTAAGCATGTGTTCAGAGTTGTTCTTATTAATATGGGTTTGGGGTCTGATGATAAATGCCCAATTTCTACCATTTTTCAGCACAGCCAAAAACTCTGGCCCACAAAATACCAGTGACATCCCAGCACACAATTTTAAGATGGGTCGAATTACATGTATATCTAACGAATTTCAGAGCAGGCTGCTGAATTTGTAAAACAAATATATTCTAACACCCACCAGAATGATGGTCCAGAGTCAAATGTATGTGTATTCAGTGCAGCATTTGCTTTATCCAGGGGTACAAACGGGCCAGGAACGAAACCCTACAAGGTTTTCTTTTTTGAGTGAAGCTAAACTTTGTGCTTCCTTTGAGAGTTTCTGCCTAAATCTTCAAAAGCTGGACCTCAGAGATATTACAAGGCGTGTGGTACAGTGTAAAACTTCCCTGTGTCCCTAAAATGACAGTATCAACAATAGCACCACTGAACAAACACTAGTTTTGGCTTCTGCCTTTTATTTTATTTTATTCTTTTTCCCCCTCCTCTTAGCTCCGCCCCAGCCAGCTCTTGAAAGGCCTTCTGTTCTGTCAGCCATAATGACATCTGCTGGCGGAGACAGGAAGTCATAAATCTGTAGGTACCCTCTCAACCAAACCTTGTTAATGCTGCCATTTATCACAGGGGCCGGGGTGCCATCTCTGGAGGGCTGGACGCAGAGAGTCCATTTTCTCCCATACCCCTTTCCCAAGAGAGCAACCATTTTAAAAACAGCCACTTTCTCATTTCCCATTTGCAGACCTGGAAGTCAGGCAGAGGCAGGCCCCACCGGCAATATGCAGCTCTTGGAAAGAAGCCACAATCTCGGGCAACAATAGACTCGATTTGATGCGTGGGGACTGAAGCAAGGCAGTTCTGACCACGCTCTGTCCTTCCTCGTTTTCAATCAGCCCCTAACTGCCTCAGAGAGAGGAATGGAGATCCCCCCTCCTCTGAGCCTCTGAGTCTGCCTCTGCCTCCGCATAGGTTTTCAAGGCCAAAGCCTGGCTATCGGGGGCGGGGGTGGAGAGGGAGTTTTCAGATTATTTAAACTCAGAGTTCCTTTTATTCCAAACTAAATTAGGAGGACGTTTGGGTTGATTTCCTAGGGGTTCATTGTGTCCTAAGCCTTGATTCCAGCCCTGTGCCTATTCAAGACATATTCAGGCTTTTGCTCCTCAGAGTATGTTCCCTGGAACATAAACACCTGCACTGCCTGTTGGAGGCTGTTAGCAGTGCAGACTCACGGGGGCCGCTCCAGACCCACGTGATCCAATGTGTTTTCAACAAGCCCTTGGAGTGACTCCTCTGTAAGTTCAAGGAGGTGAGGCCAGGCCCTACCCTGGCGTTCTCAGCCTTGACCCAATCGACATCCTGGGGCTGGATAGGTTTTCGTTGGCGAGGGCCGTTCCTGTGCCTGTGGGGTGTCTGGTAGCGTCGCCGGCCTCTACCCACTAGATGCCAGTAGCACCACCCTCTGAACTGTGACCATCTCTAGTCCCCTGGGAGGAATAATCACCCCTGTTGGAAACTGGGGTTCAAGGACGTCCAGCATCAGGGCCATCTAGGAGGTGGTTAGAAATACGCATTCTCAAGTCCCACCAACTTACGGATGCAGAATATGTGGTGACGGAGCCCAGGAATGTATACTCTGTAGGAGAAAGTATGCAGGCTAATGCTGAGGAATTCTGAAACTGCAGGGTAGGAACCGATAAAAGTAATAGGATAATTAGACAGTTCGTGATGCAGCCACAGCGTCACCGAGAATGAGTTATGCGTGGCCGTGGGGCCGCACCTGCAGGGTGTGAACCAGCTTCCCCATTTTCTGCCTCCATAAGCGTGGGTACGTTACCTACCCTCTCCGTGCCTCAGTTTTCCTTGTTTGCAAAATGGGGACAACAAAAGCACTTTGCCTCATGGAATAGTTTTAAGGGATTAAGAAGTTCCTATTGTAAAGTGCTTAGAACAGTGCCTGGCACCTCGTGCTTCCTAAGTGTTAGCTACTATTATGATCATTACTGTAATTTGCTTTTCATTCCCGAGATTCTTAAGTTCCTTAGGAACCACACAGGTGCTTCATTTCCCTGCTGCATCCCCGGTACCCAGCCCAGTGCCTTGTATGAATGTTAGTGCGAAGAGAGGACACGCATGTGGAGAGAGGCAGGCACTGGCTGGAGCTCTCTGGCTTCATACTTTCCGTGTAAGGATCCGACCTCCCCCGACTGGCTTCTGTAAATTGGTGCCCTTGCACATGTAGAGGATTGAGCTGACATTTGCTTTCTCCCTCGGCACAGATTCGACTAGACCTCAGATACATCTATATCTGAAAGCACTCTGTAAACAATAGTCGATCAACAAATACTTATAATGAAAAAGCTAAAGACCCGGAAATGCTATCTATGTGCTTGGTGTCATGCTGTGGATTCCACATTAGCTTAAAATCCCTCTCCGTGCCACTGAACGGAATCGATGGCATATTTAATTATCCCCATTTCACAGATGGGGAAACTGAGGCTACTACCAAGTTTGTAGTCTTAGTAAGTAAGTAGTAAAAGTATTTTTTTTAGAGTGTGGGTCTGATTCCAAACCTACCCTTTTTCTTCCTGGGTTCCCACCTGGTCTGGCGTCCCGCCTATTTCTCCACACCCCAATTTAACCACCAGCACCAGTGGCCCTTTGCCTGCGGGGAACTACCTCCGTGCAAGGACTGGCAGGCGCTGATGGATACATAGCCCAGCTCTCTCGCTCTTCGGGAAGGATCTCTCGAAAGTACGTTCAGCTACACTGATATTCCAGCGGGATTAAGGTTTATCACCCACAGTTCACCTGCTCGATCGCACACTACGTGTTGGTAGCCTTCCCTTGCCGTGCTCACTTCCCTCCTCTCCTCCTGGAGTTTCCAAAGCTCCCGTAACCAACAAACGACTCGCTTTCAAATCTTCATCTCGGGGTCTGCTTCTCGGGGAACCCAAAGCAAGACAACAGAAGCCCTCTCAGAAGAGGATTTGCAATGCTTTTGAACTATTTGACCCTTTTAAGCCTGTGGGTTCCTTCGCCGTGTTGGCCTTCCCAGCAGTGGTTAAGGAGAGGAGACAAGCTGTATTAATGGGCGAAAACAGCACCCGGGACAAGTCACTTTGACATAATCCTAGCAAGCAGGGGGAGAATCTCATGAAATTTTCAGGGCAATAGGATGCCTCATGCCTAATCATAATAGATAAGACATGCTGCGGATAAGACAGAAAGGTGTTCTCAGAGTGAATTATATCATTCTCTATTTGCTTCTGAGAGTTGAGGGCTACCTTTGGGCACACAGTTCTAATGAGTCCAGGAAGGAGAGCTTGATACACAGTCGAGGTGCCATAAAATATACCAGAGCCCAGAACGTAAAGGCTGCTCATCACGTGGTTTCCAGGCTCTTCTGGTCCTTACATTCACTTAATGTCTTCCTGTGGTTAATGAAGTCGAGCAATGGATTACTGAGCCAGCGACATGGTCCGGAGCCTTCCGCGGCAGCAAAGCACTGTCACCAACTGCAGGTAGCCACCTCCCAGGGAGAAATGTGATGTATGTTAAGTCAAACAGCTCCTGCATTCCCAGCCTGCCCATTCAGCAATGGGCCTAAGATACACATAGTGCTTAACTGTTGCAAAATTCTGGCCAAATCCAAATCGTTTTCAAAAAGAGAGCCCAACAACTTTTGGAGGATGCTTTCTTAAAAACAAGCTTGCCAATGCCTGACTCTCTCCCGACTTTACTGTCATTCACCTGAACTGTTTTCAGAGAGCAAATTCCCACCAAGTAGAACAGGACAGATTCTCTTCCGTGTGTTGGTTGAGCAAGTCCACTCTACTAGGCTAGCTGTTTCAGGAGGTAAATAAACGAACTAGCATTTATCAACGGCAAAGAATAACACTCATACTTGATATGAGGACCCATGATATCCCCAGTGATCCAGCCGCTCTCCCTGTCTGGCTCTCAACCCCGAGGCTGTATCCTTTGTGTTCTCGAAACACCCAAATGTCTTCTGATTTCAGGCTGCCTTGTGTATTCCAGATTTCTGTTTCAATGTTCCCTTCTCAGAGAGGCTCTCCATGACTCCCACCCTAAAATAGACCTGCCCCCACCCCTTACACTCTAGCCCAACACCCCCACCTTATTTTCTTCCTGTCGCTCTCCATGATCCATCTGTGGCTTCCTCTTGTCTGGTTCTCCCCACCAACATGGTGCTGTACCCGATGTCCTGGGAAGGGAGAAAATAACCCCAGATTGCCACCTTCAAGTTTTTACAAAATAGTTACTGGTAAGAGGGATATCCTGAATGAGTTAAATGACACACGATGAAGGCAATGAATTATATCCTCAAGGGCAAAATCGTATGGTACACTGGCTCGCAAACTTGGCCACATACTGGAATCATCTGGGGGCTTTAAAAATACTGATGGCTGGATCCTGCCCCCACAGGCTGATGTAATGAGTCTGGGGTAAGACCTAGGCATTGAGTTTTTTAAATCACCCAGTTGACTATGATACACAGCAAAGTTTGAGAGCACTGCTCTTTTTTTTTTTTTAAATTGAAGCATTATGTACATGTATAGAAGCACATAAATCATAAGCATGCAGCTGAATTAATTTTTGCAGAACAAACACACTCAGTAACCAGCATCCTGGTTAAGAACAATGCAAACCCCCCTTCCCCAGTAGCCCCTCATGCTCACTTTCATAGGTAACCACTACCCTGATATCCAAGCATAGATTGGTTCTGCCTGTTTGTCTACTCATATACTTGGAATCATACTCTATAATGACTCTGTGTTTTAAGAACATAGGGATGGAGAAGTTTGAATCACTCGGAGTCCACCCAGGAAGGCTGCCTGAAGGAGATGGTATTTAAGGGAGGATCTGAAGGAGGCAGTAGACAAGAGAGAGGGAAGGGTGGACAGCGTCACTTGGAAAAGAGGCACGCAAGCTGAAATGCTATGTACCCGTGTCAAATGAAAGCCCTATTATGGACCCAAATCTTTAATTCTGTACATCCTTCTTTGCGAGGATGCTCCACCTGGTATTCAATCAGCCCACAAAATTTCACTGAGCACCAATACTGTGCTGGACTCAGGGAGACAGAGGTAAAATAGAACTTACATTTTAATTAGGAAAGACAGATAATACATAGGCAAATATATGAAGAAGATACAGATGGTCATAACTGCCGTGAAAGATAAGACAAAGAATGGCACAGATGGCAGGGTCAAAAAGAGATAACATTTGAGTTTAGAATAAGGAGGAAAAAAAAGATCTGGGGGAGGGATCTTTCTGGAAAGAGAAGATGCACAAGCCCTGAGGCTGGTATAGGAGGTGTTACATGAACTAAGGCATTCTCCCTCTGCTCAAGAATCTAACGGGCTGCCCCAAGGCCCACTCATTCAGACAGTGCCAAGCTCAAGGTTGGCACTTGGCAGATGTGGGTCTCAGTTGCGTTGGGTTGGAGTCCAGTGGTAAGACAGGCAAACTAGCAACAACAGAAATCAGTATGATAGAAATGTGCTTACAATGGGGCCGTCGCAGGTGCCGCGGGTCCAATGAGAGGGCTTCATGACCACCCTTTTGTATGAATCCCGGGACAGACACACGTCCTGGCTAATCCTTGTGCGCAACGACTTCTAACTTGACTCGCTTGTTACAACGTTCGGCGTTTGTAAGGGGAAAGGTGCCCGTGCCCGGCGCCTTATCACAATCACCTGGGAACTTTTAAAATTTCAGATTTTCGGGCCCCACCCTGGGACCTAATTCAGTAATTCTAGGGTGTCGCCTGGGACTCTTTATCTTAAGAAAAAAATCCCCAGGTGATTCTGACATTGAGCCAGTGTGGGAATCCGTGTTCTAGAAGATACACTTGCCTCATTCCGATTGGTTCATGCCTTTACACATCCCGGAGTTTGAGTGTTAGATCTGAGGATGCTACGTTCCCTGGAGACCCAAACATAGCATTATTCTAAGCCACCAGCTCTTGGAAGAAGTTTACAAAAGTGCCAGAGTCTGTGGTTTAGCAAAGTATTTTCCAAATTCTAGTCATGCCTATAGCACCTTTTCCACATTTTGCAATCTCCACACCCCCTTGCACCATTATGTCTTCTCTATCAATCCTTAGCTATATTTATTTTTTAAACCCATAAATTATATCAAACCTTAGATTGCTACCATAAATGGAGAGCAGTATCTTTGGCTAAGATCGAGGTAACCTTAGGGTGAATTCAATAAAAACAAACCACTTTTTAAATGTCTAGCCAGGTAGCTCTTGCCCCTCCCAAGCTTCCAAGCCTGAGATCTGCGGCTTCTTGGTTGAGAAATAAAAGTTAGCAACTGTTAGGCATAAAAGATGCACTAGCACCAAACTGAGACATTCTCGGATTGAAAGAGAAATGAAAGGGAATAACCTTTTCACTATGCGATTCATGCTTTCCAAAGTCACGTCTATGCCACTGAGCAGTATCTGGGCACCATTGTGCTATGCATCCAACTGGGGTAGACAAAATCTTCCTTGCGGATAACCAAGCTAAACACTCTATAATAGTAGGAGTAGGGGGGAAAATACAAATTAAAGTAAGAATGTAAGTAAAATTCAGAGACGGACCCTGGAGAGAGGCAGGGAGAGATTCTGTAGCCCAAAGTCAGTTACTCTGGCCCCTTTCCCTCCTCACCCTCTCCAAGGCTGGGTCCAGTGCCAAGTCTTCAGGATGTCATTCTAACAGGAGCTTTTTGAAGGCAGGGATCCTATCTTATACCTTCCAGCATCTCCTATACTTGGAGCAATGCAAGGCACCTAACATAGTAGATGCTGGCTAAATGGCTGCAGGTAGTACCAACACCCAATCAGCAGGCACGGGGCTCCTCCAGGGAAGATTCGTGGTGAGCTCTCCGCGGCAGCCTTTCTTCTGCTCAGGCCTTCCGTCTGTACATCCTGATCCTGAAGCTGTGGTCTGTAGCCTGTGGGACTGGGGGTTTTACTCAGTAAGCTGTGGTGCCTGGCACAGCACTCCTTAAAGGTGTGGGAGGGAATTAGAATGAATTGGCGTTAATACCCTTTTGCTGACATTGTCAAGTAGGCAGTAGGACTTGTGCCTCAGTTGCCTAAGGGCTGGGCTGGGAGTGGGTGAGGTTGGTCATGGGTGGAGGCCAGTCGGGTGATTTAGGGCAGGTGAGTTACCTTGTGTCACCAACATGAGAGGGACAGATGAGTATATGCCTCCCCCCAAGTGCGGATGTTAAAAATGATTTGACAACAAAAAAGATTAATCAGCCCTTTGCAAACAGCGACAATGGCGTGTGACTGGTAGGATGGGGAAAGTTATGTTTCTGTAGCCCCTGAAAGAACCGTTCAGAAAAATATCTGTGAGACAGGTCACCCTAAGTCAGTCCCCACAAGCGAGGGCGAAGGTGGTGGGTGGGGGGGCTGTAAGCGCCGGGCATCCCAATTATACTTGATAGAGGTTAGGGCGCCAGTAGTGAGGAGTAGACCCAGGTGAAACCTCATCACAGCGACCACGGTAATAGCACGGCACCTTGAAATCCTAAGTTTTCAAATACCTAAGCGTGAGTTTGCTTTATAGTTATACAGTATTGTATATTATAACATAGATTTATATATTATGTTACAAGATACAATTGTCCTTGTATATTGAAACATATAATTATCCTTGCATATTGTAACATATTATATATAATATATATATTAGGTAATATATAATATATATTATATATTGCAATATACAATTGGTTATTACATTATAAACATATATGTATTGTATATTGTAACATATAATATATATATGTTATATATTACAATATATACAATTGTCCTTGTATATAGTAACACATAATATATATTATATATAATGTTATATATATAACAATATATACAATTGTCCTTGTATATAGTAACATAATATATATTACATGTTACCTAATATATGTTATAATATATTATATATATGTTACAATATACAATTGTATATTACAATATTGTAAACATTGTAGATGTATTATATATTAAAACATGTTGTACTATGTATTGTAATATACATATATAATATATTATATGACAATATACGATTGTATATTACAATATTGTAAACATATTGTATATGTATTGTATATTGTAACATATTGTATTGTATATTGTAATATACATATATAATGTGAGAATATACAATTGCATATTACAATATTGTAAACATATTGTATATGTCTGGCTCTGGAAGAACAAAGGCTTTTTTAGCAGAAGTTCTCAAACTGGAATGAGCAGGAGAGTCACTTGTTCAAAGCGCAGATTCCCTAAGCCCTGTTCCAGAAGTTTCTGACTTAGAAGGTCTAGAGCAGTGGTCCTCAACCAGGGGATGATTTTGTGCCCCAGGGGGGGCACTGGGTAATGTCTGGAGACAATTTGATTGACAGGACTGGGGTGGAGGAGTCTGGCAGCTAGTGGGTAGAGAGGCCGGGGATGCTGTCAAATGCTGATATTGCACAGAACAGCTTCCACAACACTTATGGCCCCAAATGTCAATGGAGCTGGGGTTAGATCATCTTCTGGGCGAAGGCCTGGGAATGTGCATCCTAATGAGGGCCTCAGGGGGTTTGGGTGCGGCCAGAGCCCTGGCTGGGAAAGCCCTGGACCATGCCTGCCTTCTTATTCTAAGGCTCTGTCTACCTCCGTCATATTTAGGAAGCTGCTTAGACTTGATTCTCCCCATGAAGCTGTGCCTCATAACGAAACTCCCTTCCTCCAGGTCCCTCCTAAGTATACCTCCTGCCTCCCCCCCAACTCATCATTTGCCTCTTTAATTGTCTCTCCCACAGGAATGAGAGTCCTTGAGGGCAGGGTCCCCCGGTTCAGACCTGTCCCCAGCACCAGGCAGGGGCCTGGCCCACACTGGGCTCGACAATCACGTGTTGGCTAGAATCTGTCTCAGCCCTAGTCCCATCTCCTGCAGGGAGTCTAAAGCTATCCTCTCTTTCAGACACTGTCATAGTCCCTTATTTAAACATGTTCATGGGGCTTATCACTCTGCAATTATCTTGTTTATTTGCTTGCTTACTTCTCATTCATTCAACAAATATTATATTGGGAACAGACTATATGTCTTGTCCCTTCCCATCGCTGGGGATTGCAGAGTGAACAAAAGAGGCAAAATCCCTGTTCCCAACAGAGCTTATATTCAGAGAAAGGAACTAGGACAATAAACAAAATAGAAAACTATATACAATGCATGTGACATTGATTCGAGCAGTAGAGAAAAATAAAGCAGAGAAATGGGACGGGGTGGGGGTGTGTGTGTGAACATTTTAAGTAAGGTGGAGCTCTGGGAGAAGGTGACATTTGTGCAAAGACTGGATATCCGAGAGTGACATTTCTCTCCCCCATCCGAATATCAACACTAAGGGGGTCAGGAGCTTCCCTTTCTCTATAGCTTCTGTGTCTCCAGAACAGGCACATAGTAGGTGCTCAATGAATACTATGCAAACAAAACAAAGAGCATATTGGAATGAATTATCAAGGAGACAGATGGGAGATTTTTGCTTTTCTGACCATCCGCTGAATAGAAGGAAGGAGGGAGGGGCGGGGGCGTTGAACTTGGGGCGGAGGTGGGGAGTACATCTTCGAGGCCAGATTAAGCGACCTGGGAGATGGAGGTCATTGCCGGATGAGGCGCCCTCCCCCATCCCCCGCCCCGAAGCCGACCTAAGTTCTCACCTTCCTAATAAGTATCCTTAACGGCCCTGCGGGTCGGCTAACCTGGCCCCCCGCCAGGTCCCTTCCGGGCCGCGGAGTTGGACCGGCACCCCGCCCCCCCTCCGCCCCGCGACCCTGCGGGTCCCGCCCCCTCCCCACCGGCGTCCCCGCGCCGGGGGCCAGTCCTCGCCCAGCTGGGGGGGGCGCGGGGTGCCCGCCCCCAGCCCCTCTGGGCGGCGGGACGCTGTCCCTTTAACAGACGCGCTCTGCCTGGCGCGGCGCGGCTGGGGAGTAAATTTCTCGCTGTCATCAGGTCGCGGGGAGACGCGGCGGAGGAGGAGTTTGTTAATGTTCAGTTTGTTCAGCGGGATCGATGTTTGCTGGCATCGCCTCGCCCTGTCTTGTGTGTGTGAGTGTGTGAGTGTGTGCGTGTGTGTGTGCGCGCCTCTGGGGGGGGCGAGTGTGTGAGGCAGCGCGAGTGCGTGCGCGCGTGTGTGAGTGTGTGCGTGTCTGTGTGTGTGTGTGCGTGTGCGTGTGTGTGAGTGAGTGAATTCCAGGTTTTCTGTCTCTGCCCAACCCGCTCCCGTCCTGTCGTCTCGCGTGTCACTCACGACGGGGACCCGACAGCGGCCGCCAGCCCGCAGTGAGTGAGCCCCGGCGCGGATCCGGCCCGCCGTAGAGACCGGCGCGGAGGAGGCGGGAGGAGGCAGAGCGGAGGCGGTGGAGGAGGAGGAGGAGGAGGAGGAGGAGGAGGAGGGAAGAAGGAGGAAGAAGAGAAAGAAGGAGCCACCACCTTCCCGGGATTGCCTTTCCCCCTCGTCTGTGCGCGCGCGTGTGCGTGTGGCGCGTGTGCGCCCCTCGTCCCTTCCCTCCGAACCCGGTCTTGGATGTTTAATAAAGAAATCAAGTGTCTCAACAGTCACCAAAAAAAAAAAAAGAAAAAGAAAAAAAAAACCCCAAACCCCCAAATTTCCAAAAAAGCAAACACAGAGAGAGAGAGGAAACAGAAATCCAAAACAAACAAACAAGCAAACACGGCCGAGCGCACCTCCGCCTCCCGGCAGCCGGCACGAGCCGCCCGCGCCTGCCGCGCGGAGAGGGGGGTCCCGGGCCCGCGGGGCCGGAGCCGCCGGGGGCGCCGCCCCAGGAGCCCGCGGGCCGGACGCGGCGACGCGAGCGACGGCGGGCCCGCGCGGCCCGGGCTGGGGCGCGGACGCGGGACCGGAGCGCGGTGAGCGATGCCAAGGAGGAAACAGCAGGCACCCAAGCGGGCGGCAGGTAAGAGACGCGGCTCCGCTCGGCGCCGCCGGCGCGCTGAGCTCCCCCGAGCCCCCGGCGCCCCAGGACGCCACCCCCGGAGCCGTGGGGGGGGGGGTCCGCGCCGGGCGCCCCGCTCTGCCCCCCTCCGTCCCCTTCGTGCGTCTCCCAAGTGCCCCCCTTCGCAGGCTCCGGGTGGGTGCGGGGAAGCCGTCCCGCCAAGCCTTCCCTCCTTAAACTTTTTTTTCCTCCACCCTCCACCCCACCCCTAACTTTCTCCCGGCCTGTGTTCGGCCCACGCTGGGCTGTGGGTTCGGGGTGCGGGGCTCGGAGCCGGCCCTTCCGCCCCCGCATCCCCCGGCGCGGTCAGGGCCGGAGGGTGGCTTCTGGCCTCCGGGGACAGCGGCTGCTCTCGCCGGGTTTTGGGGCGCTCAAGTGTGAGGCGCGCCCGCGAGCCCCGGGCTGCAGGCTGGCTTTGGGGCAAGCGAGGAGAGTTTTAACTCTGATCGCCAAGGGGGAGAGAATCCCACCCCAGGAAAGGAATGAACCTTTGAAGGTGCTTTCTAAATATGCTTGGAAATCTAATCAACACTCTTTCTCTTAAAAAAAGAAAGGGTGGGGGGGGGGGGATGCCCAATAGAACGTTGAAACAGCTCGGGATTTTCTTCGCCCAGGGAGAGTTGCAAACTTTGTAAATTGATTTGTAGGGTATCCCATCTGAATCTTTTCTTACTCCCTTTTCTTACCCCCACCCCCTCCCCCCCAAAAGAGGAACAGGTTAATGGGTCAGTACAATAGACCTTATAAAGGATTTTTTTTTTCCCTTTTGGGTTGCTTAATTGCTTTTTTAATAGTATGCTGGGGTTTTGTTTCTCGGAAGTGTAATATGAAAGTTCATTTTTCTCCTGCCAGACCCACCCACTGAAAAATCAGCTTTCCACTTGATTGCTAGTTTTGATTTGACATTTGATTGATCACCTGTCATCTCGCTGCCTTTGATCTATTCATTCTTGATATATATCAATAAATCACTCACCATGGTAACTCAGAGTACCAGTGACGCAAGCCTTGCCCTCTAGATTCAGAGCCAGACATGCACAATTATTATCTTGTTTGGCTTTTAGTGTGGGCGTTTTTTATTTCTTTGTGTCCTTCTGTTGAATCAGGGCTTTAGCAAAAAGCTGAAGTTCTTACCCCCCCCCCCCCACCTCTTCTCCGTCTTTACTCTCATGCTTTAGGGGACATCCGTGAACGCTGGCGTTCTGCAGACCCAACCACACATTTCCTTCTGTTGTAACGGGAGCGAAACATTAGGGAGAAGTTCGGTGAACACTTTTGTAAACTTTATGAAGCCACCCTTAGAACAAATCCCAAGCTAGCTGCGAATCTGGGCAAAGTGGGTGTTTGTGTCTGAACATGCTGGGCCACCGAGCTCATCCTCCATCGTGGCCTGATTCCAGCCTGGATGACAGTCCTTGTGCTCTGCAATATCCACAGTTATCTTCCCTCCAGAGCGCAGAATTGCTTCCGTAACCACGCGCAGATTGGGTCACATTGCGTGCGGAAATATCATGTATAACGCTTTGATTCGTGTGTTTTCCAACTGTTACCCAAAGAGCAAATTAATTAGAATATTTTTCGTGCCATGTATAGTCAGAGCTTGTCTCGTCAGTGAGGTGTTCTTTTTTTGCAGCTCTGGCTACCTCTTTTGAAAACAGCTGCTCCCTCCTGCCCCGGCCCCTGTCTACATTTCAGTCGCTTATTTGTTAAAACTTAGATGGTTTTGCAATCTGACAGCACTGGGGTGTGCGCTGGCCGTCTAGACCCAGGAAAAGTAAGCATGCTCCTTCTAGCTCTAACAACCCAAGTTTTCGGGTAGCTAGATTATTAGAGATAATGTCCTTATTGTCCCAAAAGAAAACCCTGGGCAACAGTCCAGCGAGAAGTGATACTGCCCTGAAAATTACTCTTTTTTTTTTTTTTTCCCCTTGTTCCGGTAAAGGCCATCAACAACTAGGCAGTAATTTAAATTACCAGAATGACTGGACATGTCTCCTTTGGTTAGCTCATTACAAAAAGTGCATTGCTCAGAATTGCACTACTTTGATTATAATTATCCGCTGATCAATGAGGATCCAGGTGTATGTAACATAATGCTGTATCACATTATTTAAATTAGATCCTTTTCATTAATCCGGTATCTATTGGAGCTGGCTGGTCTATTTACTGTAGTGTGTGTGCGCGTTTGAAAGTTATGACTTTAGTTTCAGTTCACTAGGCTATTGTATTCCTAGTGTCTTTATGTTTGTTTTCAGAGCTTTATTATTTTCACTGAAAAAAGCAGAAACCCTTGTCAAACTGAAAGGGAATAATTCATATTGTACACAAGGAGGCCCCTCTTGCAGTATTTATTTGCTCACATATTAATACAACAGATTTTTTTTTTCGTTCGATGTTTCTTTCCTCCAAAGTCATCGATGCTATACTCTGTTTTAGCTGAGGTGGTGATTCACGAGAAAAGTTAGCCACTTCGGGATTCTTTAGGCACTTGATCATGCAGGGAAAAGAACAAGGTGGGTTCGAGGATTGTGGCCATACTAACTTTTATCGCTGCCTGAAATTAAACGCAATGCACAACTGTAAGTAATTACTCCCATGGACTGATGCTGAAAGCTTGATTTCTAGCTTGATTAATGAATAATGTAAGATAGAAAAAGCCTGTGAGTGAATCAGAGCTGAAACTCTTTCCCAAGAACTGTTCGAGGCAATTTGATTCCTTTGCATTATTAGTTTTAAGTTCATGGTTCAGGGAATCAGTTACAGAACTTTCTAATAAAGCAGGTATGCAGATAGAATGAACAAGATGATATTATAAGTGATGGGGAATTACAGTCTTTATTTGTTTTGTTCTCTCCCCGCCTCCTTAAAAGAAGGGATGTGAGGTAGGCAGTTCTCTTTAAGGAAACAGCTAAGTCAGAACATTTCCCTCTGTTTCCCTCTGAAATGTCATTCTTCCTTCCTTTCTAAAGCTATGCTATTCCACCGTACTTTTACTTTGGGCAAGAAAAAAAAAAGTTCAGAAAACAGCCTACGGTACCCCAGGGGTTTGTGTGTGTGTGAGAGTGTGTATGCTGGCTTCCTTGGATGTATATTTCACTCACCACTAAAATGCATCCCCTTTTACCTGAGAATATTGCGGGATTTTCTATCAGCATCTCTTCCCCCCAATCCGTTTTAGGGCAGATAGAGAAGATGGCAGAAAGGTAAAATAAAACAGAGCAGTGTTTTGATTTGTTTGTATTTTACAGGATTCAGAGTAGTTAAAAATTTAAAATTGCAGACTTACAGTGCAAACCGCTCTATTTTCTACAGTCTGTCATAGCCTCTGTACACAGACATGTGTAATACATGTATTTTATTTTACCACCCCGAACCATTGTTTTTATATAATGCCAGCCAATCGTAGTAGAATGCAGAATCTTTGGGGCTTGTGAATATCGAATGTATACATAAGTTATAGGATTCTGCTCTGCCAGCCCAAAGAGATTAAATGTTTCCTTCTTGTTGACTCTCCTCAGCTATCTGATAATACAGATCTGAGGAAAGACTTGCGGGGAAAGAACAGCTCCTTCAATTTATTTTGTTTATTTAATATGGAGATGAATAATGCAGATTTTGTTTTCATGAATGTCCTTGTGTGGCAGTAAACATTAGACTATTAGCAATCATTACTTAAAAGTTGCAATTTGCACCTTAATGGCATAGTTTATTTACATGGGAAACATATTCATCAGGGACAGTTCTGAATCCTGCAGTGGAGCAGGAGT